CACCAATACTCAACAAATACCTGAGTACATCATCCGACGGGCAGAGGCATCATGTTTTGTCATGTAGGATGATTGAAGCTAGTCACAGTTGTTGAAAAAATGACACTTAATTCTGGGAAATCCTGAGAGCAAAAGATGGGAGGACTGAGGTGAAAATTCACCTTGCAGCAGGATAAGGACCCTAAACAGACAAGCCAGAGCCACAGTAAAAGGTTAGATAAACTCACAGTCACATTATAGAATGGCCCAGGGGAAATCTAGATCAAACAAAAAACCAAATCAAATTCAAAATTCATACTTTCACATTTTATTCCAAAAGTCAAATAATATTGTTTCAAATGTACAGACTGAACAGTTTATGTACCCTCTAATTTCACATAATAAGACATAGCCAACATAATTCCCTGATGATTGATGCTGAATTTTATCCCCTGTTTAATTAAGCTATACCTTTTTTCTCAGTTTTATTATCCATTATTAAGTAAAACACGGGGTCTCCCACTCCATTTAAATAAAATATAGAGCTTTCTAATCAAAAGCAAACAGAAAAGCACATATACACATAAAGAAATACTGAACAAGAAGTCCCTTTATAGTTTACATTTTGTAACTTGTACTTTTGTACTTTACCACCTTGCTTCATGAGGCATCTATATGAGGTTTTAAATAAAATGGCTTAGGAATTAACAATAATTGCAGTCAGTGTGCGAAATACCTGTCAATATTTTGGGGGGTCTCCGTCTCCCAATTGTTGCGCAATACCGATCTAAATTTTCACAATATGCAGGCCTATAACATTGCAAAGTCAAAGTCAGCTTTAATGTCAATTCTTTACATTCACCAGACATACAAGGACTCTAGAGGACGTTTCTCATTCACCAACAGTGAAACAGATAAAGTGCACAGGCACAAAAGATAAGATCAGTTCCTAATACTAAAATTTAAACATTCAATTTCAAAATAAAATATAAAATGTACAATAATATAATATATACAATATTTCTGCAAGTGCAAAAAGGCGGATGGTAATGGCAGAAGATAAAAATATTATTATTATGACCAATTATGTAGAATATATTTGTAACAGAACAGTAAATAAATATAGTAATAATAGTAGTGCAGGAGACAGTTTGTCCGGGATGATTTTTTTCTGAGGGGGGTCAGCTTTCTGACAGCCTGGAGGATCTGGCTGTGGGGAGAGAGTTTTGCTTCCTGACAGCTTGGTGGATGAAGTTTTCTGTGAATCTGGTGGAGCGGGCAAGGGCCTGAGCAGACAGTCAGTCTATGAAAACACACACACTCACAAAGACTGTCTGTCTGTCTCTCTGTCTGTCTCTCTCTTTCACACACACACACACACACACACACACATATGTCCCGCTTTAATCCAGTTTCCGACGAATGGAACTGGGTCAAATTTGTCCAGAGGAGGTCCATTGAGGTCGACAAACAGGACTAAAGACATGTGCTCTGTTCGAAAACCTGGGACGCGGCCAGATTCAAAGGACGATTATATCATAGCTCGCCGCCGAGGTCTGGTCGGATTCCAAGACTCCTCGTTATGCGACCTTAAAATACGTCCTTCTTTTTGCCTGATTTGAAGGACGGGTCCGATGTATCCTCGTTATCCTTGGTTTACCCAGGATTCAATGCGAGACCAAGCAAGCCGGCTGCTCCGTAATTAAAGGAAAGGTTACTTGGC